CTATTTCATATTTTATTTATTTATTTAATATTTTATTACACTTTATGAGTTCTCAAAAACTCAAATCTCTTTAAAATTATATTTTTTTTCACACTCAATACCATGATTCTAGTTCTGATTGTAAAATTATATATAAATAATCAGTTGTTTATTACCATGTTATTTTTTTCCTCAAGGACAATGATAGGATGGGACCAGCACATGCATGGCTTTCATTCCAGAATAATACCTCTTTGGGGCTAAGCTGTGTTGATTGAATTTGATATACTAGTAATAATAAAGAAGTCTATTTTTTTCCTCTAATTATGGAGGTGGAGGCAAGTTAATCTACATGGCCCTTTTCTCTTAGACATGACAGTTATTAGTTTTTGTCGTTGTCTACCCTCTACTGTTTTCAGAAGTTTTAGGTTTGTTTGGTTTTTTTCACCCCATGATTCATTGGGAAAAGCTTTCAGTTCTTTAAAAATTTGAGACATAGCTTAGGTCTGAACTCACAATCCTACTCCTTCAACCTCCCAAGTGCTGGGATTATAGGCATGTGATACCACCAGTTCAAAAAAAATTTTATTTTATTTTAGCTTTTAAAACATTTTTTATTCATTATTTTTTAATTATGTGTATGTGTGTCTATATAAGTGCGTGCAGTTTTGGAGTTCCAGGCTACCTGGAGCTACCTGGCATAGGTGCTGAAAATCAAACCCAGGTCCTCTGGAAGAACAGTACATGCTCTTAACCACTGACCCATCTTTTCAGCCCCTAATTTAATATTTTTTAAGATAAGGTCTTACTATGTATCCTTGGCTTGCCTAGAGCTCACCATGTAGACCAGACCAGTCTCTTAACTCAGAAATTGGCCCGTCTCTGCCTCCAGAGTGCTGTGATCAAAGGCATATGCTATCAGGCCCAGCCAAAAAATTTTAAGAGTTTATAGTACAGGTGATACTTGAGAAATATCTATTCTATAACAGTTTTGAATGCTAAAAGAAATACAGAGAATCGAGAATCATTATAACTGAGTATGATCTTGTACATCAAGAGATGCAAGGATGGTCAGGCATGATGGCACACACCTAAAGCACTTCTGGTGCAGAGGCAGGCCATGGTCTGTGAGATTGAGGTGTGCCTGGTCTACATTGTGAGTTCCAGGCTAGATTTTAAAAATAGGCAGTTCTTTAAATTACTTTTGAGAGGAACTTTAAACTCATTAGTTTGAGATGTGTACTTTCTATTTAATGAGATTTCTGTTATAGCCTTAAATCTTCAAAAGAATAGCTCTTCAGTCATAGATAAGGGCTAAAATACTTAGAATCTTCAGTGACAAAGTATTTTCTAATACTAGCCTTTTAAATAAAATGTATTGGTAATCTGGATCATTGGGGCTGGAGTGATGGCTCAGGCAGTTAAGTACTTGCCATATAAGTTTGAGAACCTGAGTTTGATCCCCAGAGCTCACATAAAGCTGGGCATGGTGATGCACACATGTAATCTCAGTACAGGGGGAGGTGAGACAGATACCTAATCCCTGGAGCTTGCTGGCCTGCCAGTCTAACCTAATCCCAGGTCAGTGAGGCCCTGCCTCAAAAAACAAGTAGACTGCTCCAGAGGAAGTGACACCTCAGGTTGACCTCTGGCCTTCTTTTGCACAAGCACACACATTCACCCACATGGACATACACACACACACGCACACACGCACACACACACACACACAAAACAAATACATATTTGAACTTCGAATTCTTTTCCTTTTAAAGATTTGTCTTTTCTTTTTCTCACTAATGGCTATCACTAAAGTGTTCTCAACATTCTTCTTTCTCTCCTTGACCAGTTTTGTATCTTCTGATCTCAGCCTTCTGCTGAATATTTTCTTCCTTTCTGATCTGATGGAATAATCATAATTATGAACAGGAATATTAATGAGCAAGATGACATGTAAGCCACATGCTGTTACATAGTAAGAAATTGGAAGTCATTTTGGAAGTGTCCTGCAAATGCCCTTCAGAATGTCTTTGCTCTCCTTTTCCTGATTGCGTAGGTGCTAAATTTGTTTCTGCTTCATGTGAGCATTGATTGGAGTTACTTGTAAATTTTCAGATTGACAGAATTATCAACCTTCATTTTCAAATGGTTTTCACAGTTGTGGTTGTAAGTCAGGCGGTCTCATTTATTTTTTGAAATAGGTTCATAAGATCCAGGTTAGCCTTGAAGTCCTTAGTAGCTGAAGATGACCAAACTTGTGATTTTCCTGCCTCCACCCCCTGAATGCTGAGATTATAGGCATGTACCATCACATCCAGTTTTTATGTGGTACAGAGGATTAAACCCAGTACATGCTAGGCAAGCACTGTACCATCCAAGCTCTATCCATTTGACCTCATCTAATCTTGTGTGATGTAAACAAATCACCTTACTTTTCAAGATCTCCGTTTTCCTTGTCTCCAATACAATTCTTAGCCCAATATTGTTTACTTGTTGAGGATCATTATGAAGGTCAAATAAAGTAGTTTATATGAAAGTACTTTTAAATACAAATGTTTTCTATGAAATGTTGCATTTAAGTGAGCTAAACACTTTTCAGTTAAAATATTTGCAGAGAAATGTGGACATTGAATTAATTGTACATTAAGAGATACTTGTAAGTTTATGGGGTTTTTTGTTTATTTGTTTTTGGGTCAGGGTGTCACTCTACAGCCCAGGCTGACCTAAAACTCAGGCTGGCCTCAGATTTGTGCCAATCCTTCTACCTTAGCCTCCAGAGTGCTGTGATCACAGATAAGATTCATCACACCTATCCATTTTTTAGAAAACTAAATCTGTTGCCCAGGCTGGGCTCAAACTGGATATGCAGTGGAGGCTCTTTGAAGTCTTAATCCTCTGCCTCCATCACCCAAGTACTGGGATTACAGGTGTGTGTTGCTGCACTCAGCATAGGTTTATAGTAATTTGCCTCAGAAATCCACTTCTGAAGAGAAAAAAATACTGTCTCAAAGATAATATTTTTGGTGTATCACAGACACTTCATTTCGTTTGTCTGAGGCAAAATATTCTAAAACATTGGAGCACTTTACCCCATCTCATTAAAGATCAGTAGTGGCTACCTGTCTTGATTAAAGGTAGCTCAGGTGTGAACAGATGGTGTTGGTGCACTCTGGAGGGGAAAGCTCAGGGAATCCCATTTTCTTCATCTAATTTAGGCTTCTTGATAAAATCCATTTTGGTTTTCTATGTTTCAGAATAGAAGCAGTACCCTTAATCCTAGTCAAGTGTTTTGATAATTCCTGATCATGATTACAAAGGAGAAAAGACAGAGCCATGTATGAGTTAGTGAACATCAGTTACAGTACTACATGTTCTCTGGATGGCTAGTGAGGTAAAGTGAGGTAAAATCTGTATTCTGGTGTCTTAAGATTTATAGAATGATTTTATTAGGAAATTGTAGGGGTTTTTTTGTTTTTAAGTTCTTCCTCACTGAATTTCCAGATGGGAAACGATGTAGTTAGTCTCTGAAATTATTT